TATATGAGTGGCATTTGAATATAAAAAGTTTTGTATATAATTATAATAAGAAAAAAATAAAAAAATAAAAAATTCTTGGAGCGTTAAATTTTGTTGAAGCAATTTAACAAAAATAAACTATTTTGTAAAATGTTTCAAAAATCATTATGTTCATATACATATATCACTTGCAATTTTTAGAAATAATCGTATAAGTTAGTGCGAATCAGAATCGACATCAACTGTCATTTATTTTTAATGCTGATTTATTAACATCTTATCGGTTGCATTAAACTTGAAAAGAAGAAGCGGTAGCACTCGTAAGCAGTCGTAATAAGTTATACAGAAACTTTAATTCTTATAGCAGTTTTTTAAAATTATATTGAAGCTCATTTTTGTCAAAGAACAGACACACAGTAAGCACATTTGAGATTCTACTATAAGAGACCATAGAAGTTTATCTTTCGTGCAGTAGCATGGTAGAACCCATAGAACTAGTGAGAAAACTACTAATGAATCAAAAATGTGAATTAAGCAAAACAGTTCATTCTTAATTCTTCAAGAACAGGCTTTTTCTTCACAGACAATTAGTTGTGAAATCACTTTTTTTTATTCCTAAAGTTCAGCAGCACAGCATAAAAATCTCATGATAAGGAAAGATAACTTTTTTTCGTTGACTAAATATTGCTAGCTTCAAATTCAATTAAAGTATATTTGAATTCAATATGTTCTGATTGAAGTCATTCTAATTGACCTCACTACTCACTTTTATGAATCACAGGATTGCACCCACTAGTTATGCCATTTCGATAGAACTCATGTTATTTCGTTTAGTTGTACAAAGAATGTTGCCCATAAATTAAAAAAAAGGATTAAAACTGATAAGATTTTGTTAAAAATAACAAAATTCTCAGATTTGATTTTTTCACTCCCACTGAAGTATCCCTAAATTGAAATATTAGGATTTTTACTTCAGTTTCAAATATGAATATTCTCAACAACTTTGAATGGTAATAATATGAAGCCATTTCGTCGTGTTTATTGTACATTTTCTACTTTGTAGGTTGACTTTTTTATCATTCGTTCTCTGTTGTGTCTGTTTAGATTCAGATAATAAATCATTCTTCTAATTCACTATCATTCTCATTCTCATTTTTTTTCTATCATTTATTATTCAATCTGCTTACTGCCTTCTTTTTTCATCTGAGCTTATTTCGTATATTTTATTCTATCTTTTGCCATCGTGTGGTTTGAAAATACTCATTCTGCTAACCATAAATTTTGAGAAAATGGCCACCATTCTTCATTTTCGTTACTATTGTTAATGTTATGAAATTATTATCATCATTTCGGTAATTTACCATAGTTTTATTTTCGTTTTCATATGTATTTCTATTGGTTTATCAAAAGTCAGTTAAATTGATAGGCAAGCGAGTAATACATTTTCATGATTGTTTATGAAATTTCTCGTTCTCGTGACGAAGTATAATAATAGATGCTACATTGCTTATTGAAATTAAAGTAATAGGAATATAACAAATTCATATTAGCGTGCAAGTTTTATTGGATAGTATGACTATTTTGATGGAATGATTTAATGTCGAAAAGAAACTTAAACGATCAATTTTAACTTCTTTTATATAAAAACCTGTGCTGTACATAGTCAGAACTACTTTCTAGTGACGTGATGAACAGTTTCACTAAAGCTTTTTTACTTTTTCTGGCTGTAAATTTATTTGAGAGAAAGAGTACATCCTCTGATTTCACTACTAAGTGATTGTAACAAAATTAAGACAGAACATTGATAGTGAAAAGTTAAAAAATGAAGTACGTGATAATCGTTCGTTTTTTTATATAAACGTGATGATAGAAGTAAAAAAAGTAATTATATCATATTTTATTTTAAAGAAACGCCATCACAAATCGTCAGAGCCCATGAATAACTATTTACAGAATTGAGATACAGATTAACCAGAGAGTAGTTATGTTATATGATCATTGATTAATTGTTTGAGCATTATGTAATATATATAAGTGATATTTTTGATCCATACGCATCAGTAAAAGAAAAAAACCTATCCAAAAGATAAGCAGAGATATGAAGCTGTATACGAGAGCGAGCCAAAAAAATTTCTTTTTACAATAGATCTACATTTTGAATATTACAGTGTCTATTTTGATTGAATCATCTTATTAGCAAATTTTCGATATAGTATAACTGAAAAACTACTATTTCAATCAAAAAGCAAGTAATATTTTGTTTCAATGAAATACATTATCTTTTATGTCTTTGAAGACTTCGATTCTCGCTCTTGCTGCTCTGGTGCCATCAATTCAATCAGATTCTTTCTCGTAAGTATATTCGAGTCTCGTCTTTTGACTGGCAATACAATCGTATGTATGACGAATACGAGTCTGATCTTTTGATCAGCAATACGATAGCATGCGTGCTGAATACGAGTCTATTCCTGTCGAATTATTTAGAACAGGAAAAGCTGAATTTATGTTATGACTTTTTTTCACATTCTTATGTGAATATCTCGATGTGGCTCTATTTCTTGGTAAAAGAGAAATAATAAATTTATCTTTTTTACATCGATAGAAAATGAATTCGTGAATAAGAACAGAAGCAAGCTTAAGTACGAATGGAACCGAGAGTGAGTAAATTCTTCAAAAAGGGCATACCAAAAAAGAGAAATCATGACGTCATTCTATAATGGCATAAAAAACAGAATGCTTGAAAAGAATGTCTATGAGACAGAAAAAAGATAAGTATGAAATGGCAAACGAGATCATCCATATCTACGGTTATAATGTTGAGGGTGTGAATTTATAGTAAAAAAGTTACTTTCACAACTGATAAATAGATGCGACAACATATATTACGCCATTCTCATGGACTTATATAATTTTTTTTTAATTGAAATTCTTTGTATTTATCTTTTAGATACTTCCAACACCTAACGATGACAAACATTGATCGCTTTGTGTGCAATGATTATCGTTTATATATTGATTAATAAAAGAAGATAACAGATTTGAATAATTATGATTGAATATATTTCAAGAGATTATTTCTGTAGTACGAAATACAATAAGAGTCATAACAAAGCAACTAAGCGTCTAAATTTTTACGTCGAAGATATTGATTCAACATATAATAAATACTATAATTGTTGTGTATGTCATTGAGAATAAACATTAACTACTTGCATTTGCCCATGGGAAAAAACTTCTAATTGATTGAATATATTGAATGAAAAAAGCATCATTGTCAATAGAAACTAACTTTTGATGGTAGATCCCTGTCAAGCTGTATGCTACGCTTTAAAAAATGAAATATCATACGATATAATTCATGTATTTAACAAGCGATCAAGATGTTCAAAAAGCAGTTCTTTTTTTATGAAAAATGGTTCAATCGTGGGGAAGGGAGGGGAGGTACTATGAAAATAACACAACTAAAAATATAGAATATCTTGACTTTGATGAATATATTAAAAAAATCAATTTGCAACATGAACTTTTTCAGTAGATACAACGTCTCGTCTTTGTTAAAGTGAAAAATTATGAAGTAAACAGCATATTACACGGCGAATTTGACACAGATACTACTAGTACATCAATTGAATAGTATTGTCATAATACCGAAATAAAAATGGTGATTATTCAGATAAAAACAATTGATTCCAATGAAAATTTATTAGATCAAATTAAACCCGGAATATCTGAGAGACAACAGAACTAGACATATCTTTCTATCGAAGAATACTGAAGTGGAGTATATGCAAGTTTGTTCATGAGTATCTACGTGGGTTGGGATAACAGACATTTGCTTTTAAAATGTGAGAATAACTTATTTCATCGACATAAATATGTCTGAAAGGTTTTTATCTTATGATGACGTTGCTGATGTATTTTTTCTGACAGTTATTTATTTACAGTCATTAATATTCATTTCAACGAATTTTCAATCGTTAATGTGACTATTTGCGTCTAATTCGATAACTTTAGTAAACACTATTCTCAATTAGCTATCAGTGTAAGTTTTTCTATTCAATAGATGGAAGAGCTTTTGAATATTTTTTTCATTTATTCGAAATAACAGTTAAACTGAATTATTGTTTTTAATCGCTTTGCCAAAGGTACTCTCTACTCGAATATCGAGATTTAGGATGTTTTTTTTGCTCTATTATTCATTTGCTAAAACAATGTGTACAAATTTTAGTGAATTCAAACGAAGAAGAAAAAATTGAGTAAATATGTTGTTTTTGTCTTTTCCTATACAGACACTAAGAGCAAAATGTTTCGTGGGTATTTTGATCTTTGCTCTGCTCACTCGAGTCAGTCTATCGAATCGTGTAGTTTCATTAAAAATTTGTCGTCTCATTGAATAATTTTAAGAAACTGATTCTATTGACTGGTATCTATTATATTGTAGATTGTAGTATAATATAAATTTTTTGAATTGAACTCAAGATGAATACACGATGCTTGTTTTGCTCGGTACATTGTACGGGTGACTTTTGCTTGCGATGCAATGAAATGAATCGTAGCCAAAAATTTGCAAGGTTCCTTCAACTTTTTGAAAAAGCTTCTGAAAGTGTAATGTATTATGACGAAATTGTTTCTACAGTAAAGCGGATTCAAAATGTAAGTTCTTTCGAATCATAATTAGATTATTACGAATGTATTATAGATCGAAACACTCATGATACCAATTCTATTCAATCCTAATCAAGTTTTCGATGAGAAAAAATATTTGGTAGATGCAGTGGCTAAGACATATCTTAGAAAAGCCACAGATGATGTACAGCATCTTATTCCCGTAGAAGTCGTTGGCGATGGAAATTGTTTATACAATTCAATCCTTCTTCTAATGAACAATTCAATGATGACAACAAGTGAATTACGAGGTATATAAATATATGTTCTATCTATATTTTCCTGCAATTTGTTTTCAACCAATTTTAGTTCGAACAGTTACTGAACTTGTAGCAAACGAAACTTATTATACCAGAATGTACTCACAATTAATCGGACCTCTAGATATCGCCATCAAAACTATATGCAAAAATTATACATATTCTGAATTGTACGAAATAGCTGCACTATGCAATGTACTTCGATGTAATATACGAAGTATTTATCCAAAAATTGATTTCCGAGAAGACATGGAAATTCTAAATAATATCTTCAGGCCTACTTCACCTACTATTGCCGATTGTAGTATCAATATTTTCTGGTCTCATGTCTTAAACGAGATAGATGTACGAGCGCAAAATAATATGACATGGAGCCCCAATCATTTTGTTCCTCTTATGTCTCCACCTGCATTCGATGACTTTGATAATATAAGTCATGAATCAGTGTCAAAGGTTGTGGTAAGTTATCCAACTGAAAATATGAAAGTGAGAATTTTAAAATTTATTTGTTTAGACTCCTGAAAAAAGAACGTTCAAGAATAATACTCCTATCCAGATACGAATTCCTGAATTTCAATCTTCACCCAGTAGACGTTTACGCAGTGAACACAGCAACGAAACTAGTTTCGCTCAATCAAATGCGACCGATGCTATACGAGAAGCACAGAATGGTATTCATGAAAAACGCCAAAGTTCCATTGAACAACAAATAAAACCAAATCAAGAGAATCTAGTGAATGAAACAGCTGAACACCGTCGTATCCGATTGGAAAAACAAAAACAGCGGGATCAATCAAATAGATCCAATGAAACAAGTGAAGAGCGTCAAGGTCGATTGAAAAACCAAAACCAACGGACTAAATCGAATAGATTAAATGAAACAGTCGAAGAGCGTCGAATTCGATTGGGAAGGCAAAAACAGCGGGATCAATCAAATAGATCCAATGCAACAAGTGAAGAGCGTCAAAGTCGATTGAAAAACCAAAATCAACGGACAAAATCGAATAGATTAAATGAAACAAGTGAAGAGCGTCAAATTCGATTGAAAAAAGTAAAAGAACGGGCTCAATCGAGTCGTATGAACGAAACAGAAGAGCAACACCAGATTCGACTAGAAAAACAAAGAAAGCGAAATCAAGCAAATAGAGCTAAAAAAATAGTTGAAAAATCTACACCTAATACACTAAATATACAGCAACAAAATTCTTCTACTCAGTTGAACGCAACTGAACTCAATGCACCATGTGACACTCAAGGTATGCATGATTTCACAAACAATGAAGATATAACAAAGAACAAGAAAACTTCTATTTCTTCGGTTTGGCCTGAATCCATCTCCCGTAAACTTAAAGAGGACTGCTTGCAGAAATTTCTTCAAAAAATGACCATGTCAGCTTTGTCTGAAGCTACTTGTGCCGTTTGTAACGTCCGTACTCAAACGCAAAAGTTGAAGAAATTACCAGTCTCGAAAATTCCTCACATTGATTTGCTTAAAGTTCCTGACACACTCAAAGATTGTATCAGAACCAGTCAAACATCTGCAGTACAACATGCTGACGAACATATTGGAATCTCCGAGAATGATAGCGTTATACAAAGGACGAGATCCACTCAAAGTAACCTATGATTGTAGTAAATTAGGAATTCATTTTAAAAAATATAGCTATTTTAGGTACTTCAACTGGTAATTCATCAGATGTTCAATGTGACAACGGCATTGTCTTATATGTGAATGGTTTGTTCCACCAAAATACAGTAAAGATGTGTACAATTTGCCAGAAATGTCACGACTCTCTGTCAAAAGGAAACATTCCTAAGTTTTCACCTGCTAATAATATGTGGTTAGGCGACATCCCTCCTGAATTACAAGGATTAACAATTCCAGAAGAAAAGCTAATTTCGCTTTATCGGCATAATAGCTGTGTGATAAAACTTCATTCACCATTTCACTCAGCTACAACTGCTCAAGCAGCATTGAAAGGCAACTGTATTACTTTTCTTCAAAGTTTACCGAATATCGTTAACAGTTTACCACTGAAACTTGATGATTTGTGTGATACATTAAAAGTGATTTTTGTTGGTGCACATCCTCCTGAACGTGTCCATCTTAAGAAGATCTTGACCGTCCGCAAGAAAAAAGTCACTGAAGCATTGCATNTATGTATTGTTATGACGTTGTGAGTGTGTGAATTTAATATAAAATAGTTACTTTCTCAACTGATAAATAGATAGAACAACATATGTTGCACCATTTTCACGGGGTTATATAATTTTTTTTAGTTGAAATTCTTTGTATTTATGTTTTAGATACTTCCAACACGTACGATGATAATCATTGATGAGTTTGTGTGCAATGATTATCGTTGATGTATTTATTGATGACAGAAGACAAAAGATCTGAATAATTATGACTTAATATATTTCAAGAGATTTATTGCTGTAGTATGAAATACAATAAGAGTCATAACAAAGCAACTCAACGTCTAACTGTTTTCGTCGGAGATATTGATTCAACATATAATAGATACTAAAATTGTTGTGTATGTTATTGAGAATAAACATTAACTACTTGCATTTGTCCATGGGAAAAACTTATCATTGATTGAATATATTGAATGAAAACAGCATATTGCCAAGAGAACCTAACTTGTGATGGTAGATCCTTGTCATGCTGTAGCTATACTACGCTTTAAAAAAATCAAATATCACACGACATAATTCATGTATTTAACAAGTGATCAAGATGTTCAAAAAGTAGTTCTTTTTTATCAGAAATAGTTCAATCAGGGCATGGGGGGAGGCATTATGAAACAACACAATTAAAAATATAGAATATCTTCGCTTTGATATCAATATAATAAAAAAAATCAATTTGAAACATGAGCTTTTTCAGTATATACAATGTTTCGCCTTTGTTAAAGTGAAAAATAATGAAGTAAACAGAATATTACACGGTGAATTTGATACAAATACTAGCACATCAATTGGATAATATTGCCATAATACCGAAATAAAAATTGTGATTATTCACCTAAAAACAACTGCTTCCAATGTAAATTTATAAGAGCAAACTAAACCCGGAATGTCTGAGAGACGACAGAACTAGAAATATCTTTCTATGTGATGATGTTGTAACGGAAAATATTTGAGTTTTTTCATGAGTATCTAGGTTGGGATAACAGAAAATTGCTTTTAAAATGTGATAATAATTTATTTCATCGATATAAATATGTCTGAAGGATTTTTAGCTTATGATGATGTTGCTCATGTATTTTTTCTGGCAGTGATTTGTTGAGAGTCATTAAGCTCTGAATTTTTTTCATTTATTCGAAATAAAGATTAAACTGAATTATTGTTTTTGTCGCTTTCTCAAAGGTACTCTATACTCGAATATCGAGATTTAGGATATTATTTTGCTTTGCTCTACTATTCATTTGCTAAAACAGTGTTTAAAAATGCCAGTGAACTCAAACGAAAAAGGAAGAATTGAGTAAATATGCTGTTTTTGGCTTTCCCGATACACACACTAAGAGCAGAATGTTTCGTGGTTAATTTGATCTTTGCTATGCCCAGTCGAGTCAGTCTGTCGAATCACCTGATTTCAGCAAAAATTTGTCGTCTAATTGAATAATTTAAAAAAAACTGATTCTCTTGATTGACATCCATTATATATTGTAGATTGTAGTATAAATTTGTTGAATTGAACTCAAGATGAATACACGATGCGTGTTTTGCTCGGTACATTGTGTGGGTGACTTTTGCTTGCGATGCAATGAAATGAACCGTAACCAAAAATTTGCAAGGTTGCTTCAACTTTTGGAAAAAGCTTCTGAAAGTGCAATGTATTATGATGAAATTGTTTCTACAGTAAAGTGGATTCAAAATGTAAGTTCTTTCGAATTATAATTAGATTATTACGAATGTATTGTAGATCGAACCAGTCATGTTATCAATTCAATTCAATCCTAATCAAATGTTCGATGAGAGAAAATATTTGGTAGATGCAGTGGCTAAAACATATCTTAGAAAGGCCATATATGATGTACAGCATCTTATTCCAGTAGAAGTCGTTGGCGATGGAAATTGTTTATATAATTCAATCCTTCTTCTAATGAACAATCCAATGATGACAACAAGTGAATTACGAGGTACATAAATTTATGTTCTGTCTATATTTTTCTGTAATTTGTTTTGAACCAATTTTAGTTCGAACAGTTATTGAACTTGTAGCAAACGGAGCGTATTATACCAGAATGTATTCACAATTCATCGGACCTTTAGATACCGCCATCAAAGCTGTATGTAAAAATTATACATATTCTGAATTTTACGAAATAGCTGCGCTATGCAATGTACTTCGATGTAATATACGAAGTATTTATCCAAAAATNGTAGCTATACTACGCTTTAAAAAAATCAAATATCACACGATATAATTCATGTATTTAACAAGTGATCAAGATGTTCAAAAAGTAGTTCTTTTTTATCAGAAATAGTTCAATCGGGGTATGGGGGGAGGCATTATGAAACAACACAATTAAAAATATAGAATATCTTCGCTTTGATATCAATATAATAAAAAAAATCAATTTGAAACATGAGCTTTTTCAGTATATACAATGTTTCGCCTTTGTTAAAGTGAAAAATAATGAAGTGAAAAATAATGAAGTGAACAGAATATTACACTGTGAATTTGATACGAATACTAGCAAATCAATTGGATAATATTGTCATAATACCGAAATAAAAATGGTGATTATTCACCTAAAAAAACTGCTTTCAATGTAAATTTATAAGATCAAACTAAACCCAGAATGTCTGACAGACAACAGAACTAGAAATATCTTTCTCTGATGATGTTGTAACGGAAAATATTCGAGTTTGGTCATGAGTATCTAGGTTGGGATGACAGATAATTGCCTTTAAAATGTACGAGAATAATTTATTTCATCGATATAAATATGTCTGAAGGATTTTTACCTTATGATGATGTTGCTGATGTATTTTTTCTGGCAGTTATTTGTTTAGAGTCATTAAGTTCTCAATTTTTTTCATTTACTCGAAATAAAAATAAAACTGAATTATTGTTTTTGTCGCTTTGTCAAAGATACTCTATGCTCGAATATCGAGATTTAGGATGTTATTTTGTTTTTGTTTTACTATTCATTTGCTGAACAGTGTGCAAAAATATCAGTGAACTCAAACGAAGAAGAAAGAATTGAGTAAAGATGTTGTTGTCTTTCCCAATACAGACACTAAGAGTAGAATTTTTCGTGGGTATTTTGATCTTTGCTCTGCTCAATCGATTCAATCTGTCAAATCATGAGGATTCATCAAAAGTCTGTCATCTAATTGAATAATTTTTAAAAACTCATTCTCTTGATTGACATATATTATATTGTAGATTGTAGATTGTAGTATAAATTTTTTTAAATTGAACTCAAGATGAATACACGATGTGTGTTTTGCTCGGCACATTGTATGGGTGACTTTTGCTTGCGATGCAACGAAATGAATTGTAGCCAAAAATTTACAAGGTTCCTTCAACTTTTGGGAAAAGCTTCTGAAAGTGTAATGTATTATGATGAAATTGTTTCTACAGTAAAGCGGATTCAAAATGTAAGTTCTTTCGAATTATGATTAGATTATTACGAATGTATTATAGATTGAACCACTCATGATACCAATTCAATTCAATCCTAATCAAGTGTTTGATGAGAGAAAATATTTGGTAGATGCAGTGGCTAAGACATATCTTAGAAAGGCTACAGATGATGTACAATATCTTATTCCTGTAGAAGTCGTTGGCGATGGAAATTGTTTATATAATTCAATCCTTCTTCTAATGAACAATTCAATGATAACAACAAGTGAATTACGAGGTATATATATTTATGTTCTATCTATATTTTCCTGCAATTTTTTTTTGTTTTGAACCAATTTTAGTTCGAACAGTTATTGAACTTGTAGCAAACGGAGCGTATTATACCAGAATGTATTCACAATTCATCGGACCTCTAGATATCGCCATCAAAGCTGTATGCAAAAATTATACATATTCTGAATTGNATCTATTATATTGTAGATTGTAGTGTAAATTTTTTTAAATTGAACTCAAGATGAATACACGATGCGTGTTTTGCTCGGTACATTGTGTGGGTGACTTTTGCTTGCGATGCAATGAAATGAACCGTAGCCAAAAATTTGCAAGGTTGCTTCAACTTTTGGAAAAAGCTTCTGAAAGTGCAATGTATTATGATGAAATCGTTTCTACAGTAAAGCGGATTCAAAATGTAAGTTCTTTCGAATTATAATTAGATTATTACGAATGTATTACAGATCGAACCAGTCATGTTATCAATTCAATTCAATCCTAATCAAGTGTTCGATGAGAGAAAATATTTGGTAGATGCAGTGGCTAAGACATATCTTAGAAAGGCTACAGATGAAGTACAACATCTTATTCCCGTAGAAGTCGTTGCCGATGGAAATTGTTTATATAATTCAATCCTTCTTCTAATGAACACTTCAATGATAACAACAAGTGAATTACGAGGTATATATATTTATATTCTATTTATATTTTCCTGCAATTTGTTTTGAACTAATTTTAGTTCGAACGGTTATTGAACTTGTAGCGAATGGAGCGTATTATTCCAGAATGTATTCACAATTCATCGGACCTCTGGATATCGCCATCAAAGCTGTATGCAAAAATTATACATATTCTGAATTGTACGAAATAGCTGCACTATGCAATGTACTTCGATGTAATATACGAAGTATTTATCCAAAAACTGATTTCCGGGAAGATATGGAAATTCTAAATAACATCTTCAGGCCTACTTCACCTATTATTGATAGTTGTAGTATCACTATTTTATGGTCTCATGTCTTAGACGAGATAGATGTACGAGCTCAAAATAATATGGCATGGAGTCCCAATCATTTTGTTCCTCTTATGTCTCCACCTGCATATGATGACTCTGATAATATAAGTCATCAATCAGTTTCAAAAGTTGTGGTAAGTTATCGAACTGAAAATATGAAAGCGAGAATTCTAAAATTTATTTGTTTAGACTCCTGAAAAAATAACTTCCAAGAATAATGCTCCCATTCAGATACGAATTCCTGAATTTCAATCTTCACCCAGTCGACGTCGACGCAGTGAACACAGCAACGAAACTGGTTTCGTTCAATCAACTGCCACGGATGCAATGCGACAAGCACAGAATGGAATCCATGAACAACGTCAAAGTGCCATGGAACAACAAATACAACCAAGTCAAGAGAATTTAGCGAATGAAACAATTGAACACCGTCGAATCCAACTGGAAAAGCAAAAGCAGCGAAATCAACGGAATAGATCAAATGAAACAGCTGAAAAGCGGCAAACTCGATTAGAACAGCAAAAACAGCGGGATCAATCGAATAGATCAAATGAAGCAGCTGAAGAGCGTCAAACTCGATTGAAAAAGCAAAAACAGCGGGATCAATCGAACAGGTCAAATGAAGAAACTGAAGAACGCCTAATTCGATTGAAGAAAAAAAAAGAACGGGCTCAATCTGGTCGTATGAACGAAACAGAAGAGCAACGCCAGGTTCGACTAGAAAAACAAAGAAAGCGAAGTCAAGCAAATAGAGCTAAAAAGATAGTTGCGAAATCTACATCCAATAAATTAAATACTCAACAACAAAACTCTTCCACTCAGTTGAACGAAGCTGAACCCAATGCACTATGGGACACTCTAGGGATGCACGATCTCGCAAACAACGAAGATATAACAAAGAACAAGAAAACTTCTATTTCTTCGGCTTGGCCTGAATCCATCTCCCGTAAACTTAAAGAGGACTGCTTACAGAAATTTCTTCAAAAAATGTCCATGCCAGCTTTGTCTGAAGCTACTTGTGCCGTTTGTAACGTCCGTAGTCAAACGCAAAAGTTGAAGAAATTACCAGTCTCGAAAATTCCTCACATTGATTTGCTTAAAGTTCCTGACACACTCAAAGATTTTATTAGAACCAGTCAAACATCTGCAGTACAACATGCTGACGAACATATTGGAATCTCCGAGAATGATAACATTATACAAAGGACGAGATCCACTCAAAGTAACCTATGATTGTAATAAGTTAGGAATTCATTTTAAAAATCATAGCTATTTTAGGTGCCTCAACTTGTAATTCATCATATGTTCAATATGACAACGGTATTGTCTTATACGTGAATGGTTTGTTCCGCCAAAATACAATAAATATGTGTACAATTTGCCAAAAATGTCACGACTCTCTATCAAAAGGAAACATTCCTAAGTTTTCACCTGCTAATAATATGTGGTTAGGCGACATCCCTCCTGAATTACAAGGATTAACAATTCCAGAAGAAAAGCTAATTTCACTTTATCGTCATAATAGCTGTGTGATAAAACTTTATTCACCATTTCACTCAGCTACAACTGCTCAAGCAGCATTGAAAGGCAACTGTATTACTTTTCTTCAAAGTTTACCGAATATCGTTAACAGTTTACCACTGAAACTTGATGATTTGTGTGATACATTAAAAGTGATTTTTGTTGGTGCACATCCTCCTGAACGTGTCCATCTTAAGAAGATCTTAACAGTCCGCAAGAAAAAAGTCACTCAAGCATTGCATTGGCTGAAAAAAAATAATATACTTTATCGAAACGTCGAGATAAATCTTCATAATATTAATCAATTACCTGAAGATGACATACCAGAAGCCATCATATTAACGATGGAACAGAAGATCGGTGATGAAGAAATTCCATCTGAAAGAGTTGGATATGTTCCTGATCCATTAGCTGATCCGACGGAATCCACAAATTCAGACACCATCCCAATTAGCAATAGGTAAGATCTACCGGCAAATAACTCATTTTTAGTTCTTTTTCTCTCTAGTGGTGTTCTCGACGTGAATGGATCCACCGTATCTTCAGATGAAATTAAAAATTATGTTTTACGAAAAATGAAAAATGACAGAGGAACCGATCAGATGGATACCGAAAGTATTTACGTAATTCCTCATTCATCGAAACCTGTTAATGAATATTTTAATCCAAAACTACTACTAGGGCTGTATCCAACTCTATTCTGTTATGGATATGGATCACCCGAAGATAAATCGCGTCCAGTTGAAATAAAATTACGAGAACACATACGTTACCTATTGTCCTACAGTGATCGACGCTTTGAAACAAATCATAGTTTTATATTTGTAGTTTTTAATCTTTTGCAACGACGTGATGCTTGTTTTCATGCTCAACTGATAGCCACAAAACCTTACTTTCAAGCATCTGCTCAAGAAATCCAGTCATTAAACAGTAACGATATTGAAATGGCTCTCAACAAAAGTGCAAAAACTACGTGTAGCTCGACATCCAATGTATCATTAAATAAGCTACTCAATCATATTAAGACCATTGGTGGTCGAGTGATGGGTTCAGCGTATTCAAGAACAGCTTTGCGCACACGTATTCATGCACTGATCTATAATCAAGGTTTACCAAGTATTTTTCTCACTTTGAATCCGGCTGATATTCACAGTCCTGTGGCACTATATTTTGCCGGTGCCAAGCTTGATTTAGACAACATTCAAATTGAGCAACTAATGACTACTTATAAAAGAGCCGAAATTATTGCTTCACATCCCGTGGCTATTGCTAAGTTTTTCCATTTATTGATCACTAACATATTAGATACTATGATAGTTGGTGGTGTTCTTGGACCTATAAAAGCTTACTTTGGTACTGTTGAAAATCAAGGGCGTGGCTCTCTTCATTTACACCTTCTTATTTGGCTTGATCATGATTTTAAGCCATCTGATTTGAAAGAGAAAATTCAAAATGGTGATTTTCGTGAAAAATTAAAAGCATATTTAGAAGATATTATCAAAGAAGACTTAGATGAATTCAAAGGCAAACGTACCTTTGAAAATTCAGATAGTATAAAAAGTTTTAATCCTTTTCCCACATAATCTATTCTTTTTTATTTTAGTATTAGGAGTGTACGTTACTCCCTCAAGATTATCACGTGATGACATATATTCAGCTTTAAAAACCATCGATCTTTCAGGATTGGAGCAAGATACATGTAACTTCGGCAATATTCGATCAACACCGATGAAGCAACAATCTTCTTCATCGATTAGTTTTGCTACACCATCACCGAAAAGGTATTCAGAAACAACGTTGTATGCTCAGCCGAATTATGGTATGTATAGAGTGACCATAAAAACAAGCAAAGCATAGAATTTTTTTAGCAACGAATGCTTCACGCAATGAATCAAAAATAATTCCTGCTTGCTTACCTACTCCGAATCCATCATCGCCTAATTTTGCATCAAGATTTCGTGCAGACATAGTACAGCTTGTCGAATCGAATAATATTCACAAACACAGTGATACGTGCTATAAGTATTGGAATTCTAATCGAGGAGATAAGAAAACGTGCCGAATGCGTATGCCGCGCAAATTAGTATCCAATTCAACAATTGATCCTGCTACTGGGAATATTTGTATGCGACGATCCGATCCTTGGATCAATAATTTTAATGAATATCTCATCGCAGCTTGCCGCTCAAATATGGACATCAAATTTATTTGGAGTGGTAGCGATGCAAAGGCTCTGGTTTATTATATTACTGATTATGTGACAAAAACGAATCTCTCGTTTCATGATACATTTTCTTTNACACTGATAGCCAATTGAGAATAGTGTTTACTAAAGTTATCGAATTTGACACAGATACTACTAGTACATCAATTGTATAGTATTGTCATAATACCGAAATAAAAATGGTGATTATTCAGATAAAAACAATTGATTCCAATGAAAATTTATTAGATCAAATTAAATCCGGAATATCTGAGAGACAACAGAACTAGACATATCTTTCTATCGAAGAATACTGAAGTGGAGTATATTCAAGTTTGCTCATGAGTATCTACGTGGGTTGGGATAACAGATATTTGCTTTTAAAATGTGAGAATAACTTATTTCATCGATATAAATATGTCTGAAGGGTTTTTATCTTATGATGATGTTGCTGATGTATTTTTTCTGGCAGTTATTTATTTACAGTCATTAATATTCATTTCAACGAATTTTCAATCGTTAATGTGACTATTTGTGTCTAATTCGATAACTTTAGTAAACACTATTCTCAATTGGCTATCAGTGTAAGTTTTTCCATTCAATAGATGGGAAAGCTTTTGAATATTTTTTTCATTTATTCGAAATAACATTTAAACTGAATTATTGTTTTTAATCGCTTTGTCAAAGATACTTTCTACTCGAATATCGAGATTTAGGATGTTTTTTTTGCTCTACTATTCATTTGCTAAAACAATGTGTACAAATTTCAGTGAACTCAAACGAAGAAGAAAGAATTGAGTAAATATGTTGTTTTTGTCTTTTCTTATACAGACACTAAGAGCACAATGTTTCGTGGGTATTTTGATCTTTGCTCTGCTCACTCGAGTCAGTCTATCGAATCGTGTGGTTTCATTAAAAATTTGTCGTCTCATTGAATAATTTTAAGAAACTGATTCTATTGACTAGTATCTATTATATTGTAGATTGTAGTATAATATAAATTTTTTGAATTGAACTCAAGATGAATACACGATGCTTGTTTTGCTCCGTACATTGTACGGGTGACTTTTGCTTGTGATGCAATGAAATGAATCGTAGCCAAAAATTTGCAAGGTTCCTTCAACTTTTGGAAAAAGCTTCTGAAAGTGTAATGCATTGTGACGAAATTGTTTCTACAGTAAAGCGGATTCAAAATGTAAGTTCTTTCGAATTATAATTAGAATATTACGAATGTATTATAGATAGAACCAGTCGTGATATCAATTCAATTCAATCTTAATCAAGTGTTCAATGAGAGAAAATACTTGATAGATGCAGTGGCTAAGACATATCTTAGAAAGGCCACAGATGATGTACAACATCTTATTCCTGTAGAAGTCATGGGCGATGGGAATTGTTTATATAATTCAATCCTTCGTCTAATGAACAATTCAATGGTAACAACAAGTGAATTACGAGGTAAATAAATTTATGTTCTATCTGTATTTTCCTGCAATTTGTTTTAAATCAATTTTAGTTCGAACAGTTATTGAACTTGTAGCAAACGGAGCGTATTATACCAGAATGTATTCTCAATTCATCGGACCTATAGATATCGCCATCAAAGCTATATGCAAAAATTATACATATTCTGAATTGTACGAAATAGCTGCACTATGCAATGTACTTCGATGTAATATACGAAGTATTTATCCAAAAATTGATTTCCGAGAAGATATGGAAATTCTAAATAACATCTTCAAACCTATTTCAACTATTATTGCCAGTTGTGGTATCACTATTTTCTGGTCTCATGTCTTAAACGAGACAGATGTACGAGCTCAAAATAATATGACATGGAGCCCCAATCACTTTGTTCCTCTTATGTCTCCACCTGCATTTGATGACTCTGATAATATAAGTGATCAATCAGTGTCAAAAGTAGTGGTAAGTTATCGAACTGAAAATATGAAAGTGAGAATTTTAAAATTTATTTGTTTAGACTCCTGAAAAGAGAACTTTCAAGAATAATGCTCCCATGTAGATACGAATTCCTGAATTTCAATCCTCTCCCAGTTGACGTTTACGCAGTGAACACAGTAACGAAACTGGTTTCGCTCAATCAACTACCACGGATGCAATACGAGAAGCACAGAATGGCATCCATAAACAACGCCAAAGTGTCATTGAACAACAAATCAAATCAAATCAAGAGAATCTAGTGAATGAAACAACTGAACACCGTCGAATCCAACTCGAAAAGCAAAAGCAGCGAAATCAACTGAACAGATCAAATGAAACAGCAGAAGAGCGTCAAACTCGATTGGAAAAACAAAAACAGCGGGATCAATCAAATAGATCAAATGAAGCACCTGAAGAACGTCAAATTCGTTTGAAAAAAGTAAAAGAACGGACTCAATCCTGTCGTATGAACGAAACAGAAGAGCAACGTCAGATTCGACTAGAAAAACAAAGAAAGCGAAGTCAAGCAAATAGAGCCAAAAAAATAGTTGAAGAATCTACATCTAATAAGCTAAATATACAACAACAAAACTCTTCTACTCAGTTGAATGTAACTGAACCCAATGCACTATGGGACACTCAAGGCATGCGCGATTTCACAAACAACGAAGATATCACAAAGAACAAGAAAACTTCTATCTCGTCGGTTTGGCCTGGATTCATCTCTCGTAATCTTAAAGAGGATTGTTTGCAGAAATTTTTTCAAAAAATGTCCATGTCAGCATTATCTGAAGCTACTTGTGCCGTTTGTAACGTCCGTACTCAAACGCAAACGTTGAAGAAATTACCAGTGTCGAAAATTCCTCACATTGATTTGCTTAAAGTTCCTGAAGCACTCAAAGATTTCATCATAGCCAGCCAAACATCTCCAGTACAGTACGCTGACGAAGATATTGGAATCTTCGAGAGTGATAGTATTATACAAAGGACGAGACCCACTCAAAGTAGTCTATGATTGTAATAAATTAGGAATTCACTTTAAAAAATATAGCTATTTTAGGTACCTCAACTTGTAATTCATCATTTGTTCAATATGACAACGGTATTGTCTTATACGTGAATGGTTTGTTCCAACAAAATACAGTAAATATGTGTACAATTTGCCAGAAATGTCACGACTCTCTGTCAAAAGGAAACATTCCTAAGTTTTCACCTGCTAATAATATGTAGTTAGGCAACATCCCTTCTGAATTGCAAGGATTAACAATTCCAGAAGAAAAGCTAATTTCACTTTATCGTCACAATAGCTGTGTGATAAAACTTTATTCACCATTTCACTCAACTACAACTGCTCAAGCAGCATTGAAAGGCAATTGTATTACTTTTCTCCAAAGTTTACCGAATATCGTTAATAGTTTACCACTGAAACTTGATGATTTGTGTGATACATTAAAAGTGATTTTTGTTGGTGCACGTCCACCTGAACATGTCCAGCTTAAGAAGGTCTTAACAGTCCGTAAGAAAAAAGTCACTCAAGCATTGCATTGGCTGAAAAAAAATAATATACTTGATCAAAATGTCGACATAAATCTTCATAATATTAATCAATTACCTGAAGATGACATACCAGAAGCCATCATATTAACGATGGAACAGAAGATCGGTGATGAAGAAATTCCATCTGAAAGAGTTGGATACGTTCCTGATCCATTAGCTGATCCGACGGAATCCACAAATTCAGACATCATCCCTATTAGCAATAGGTAAGATCTACCGGCAAATAAGTCATTTTTAGTTCTTTTTCTCTCTAGTGGTGTTCTCGACGTGAATGGATCCACCGTGTCTTCAGATGAAATTAAAAATTATGTTTTTACGAAAAATGAAAAATGACAGAGGAACCGATCAGATGGATATCGAAAGTATTTACGTAATTCCTCATTCATCGAAACCGGTTAATGAATATTTTAATCCAAAACTACTACTAGGGCTGTATCCAACTCTATTCTGTTATGGATATGGATCACCCGAAGATAAATCGCGTCCAGTTGAAATAAAATTACGAGAACACATACGTTACCTATTNAAGTGCCATGGAACAACAAATAAAACCAGGTCAAGAGAATCTAGCGAACGAAACCATGGAACATCGTCGAATCCAACTGGAAAAGCAAAAGCAGTGAAATCAAAGGAATAGATCAAATGAAACAACCGAAGAGCGTCAAACTCGACTGGAAAAGCAAAAACAACGGGATCAATCGAACAGGTCAAATGAAACAGTCGAAGAGCGTCAAACTCGATTGGAAAAGCAGAAACAGAGGAATCAATCGATCAGGTCAAATGAAACAGCCGAAGAGCGTCAAACTCGACTGGAAAAGCAAAACCAGCGAAATCAATCGAACAGGTCAAATGAAGCAGCCGAAGAGCATCAAACTCGACTGGAAAAGCAAACACAGCGAAATCAATCGAACAGGTCAAATGAAGCAGCTGAAGAACGCCTAATTCGATTGAAGAAAGTAAAAGAACGGGCTCAATCCGGTCGTATGAACGAAACAGAAGAGCAACGCCAGATTCGACTAGAAAAACAAAGAAAGCGAAGTCAAGCAAATAGAGCTAAAAAAATAGTTGAAAAATCTACATCTAATACACTAAATACACAACAACAAAACTTTTCCGCTCAGTTGAACGAAACTGAACCTAATGCACTTCGGAACATTCATGACATGCACGATTTTACAAACAATGAAGATATCAAAAAGAACAAGAAAACTTATATTTCTTCGGTTTGGCCTGAATGCATCTCTCGTAACCTTAAAGATGACTGCTTGCAGAAATTTCTTCAAAAAATGTCCATGTCAGCATTGTCTGAAGCTACTTGTGCCGTTTGTAACGTCCGTACACAAACGCAAAAGTTGAAGAAATTACCAGTCTCGAAAATTCCTCACATTGATTTGCTTAAAGTTCCTAACACACTCAAAGATTTCATCAACAATAGTCAAACATCTGCAGTACAACATGCTGACGAACATATTGGAATCTCCGAGAATGATAGCGTTATACAAATGACGAGACCCACTCAAAGTAGCCTATGATTGTAATAAATTAGGAATTCATTTTAAAAAATATAGCTATTTTAGGTACCTCAACTTGTAATTCGTCATATGTTCAATATGACAACGGTATTGTCTTATACGTGGATGGTTTGTTCCACCAAAATACAGTAAAGATGTGTACAATGTGTCAAAAATGCCACGAGTCTTTATCAAAAGGGAACATTCCCAAGTTTTCACCTGCTAATAATATGTGGTTAGGCGACATCCCTTCTGAATTGCAAGGATTAACAATTCCAGAAGAAAAGCTAATTTCGCTTTATCGGCATAATAGCTGTGTGATAAAACTTCATTCACCATTTCACTCAGCTACAACTGCTCAAGCAGCATTGAAAGGCAATTGTATTACTTTTCTTCAAAGTTTACCGAATATCGTTAACTGTTTACCACTGAAACTTGATGATTTGTGTGATACATTAAAAGTGATTTTTGTTGGTGCACATCTTCCTGAACGTGTCCATCTTAAGAAGATCTTAACAGTCCGTAAGAAAAAAGTCACTCAAGCATTACATTGGCTGAAAAAAAATAACATACTTTATCAAAACGTCGAGATAAATCTTCATAACATTAATCAATTACCTGAAGATGACATACCAGAATCCATCATGTTAACGATGAAACAGAAGATCAGTGATGAAGAAATTCCATCTGAAAGAGTCGGATATGTTCCTGATCCATTAGCTGATCCGACTGAATCCACAAATTCTGACACCATTCCTATTAGTAACAGGTAAGATCTACCAATCACTAAGTCATTTTTAAAGTATTTTTCCTTTGTAGTGGTGTTCTCGACGTGAATGGATCCACCGTAACTTCAGACGAAATTAAAAATTATGTTTTACGCAAAATTAAAAATGATAAAGCAACCGAACAGATGGATATCGAAAGTATTTACGTAATTCCTCATTCATCGAAACCTGTTAATGAATATTTTAATCCAAAATTACTACTAGGGCTGTATCCAACTCTATTCTGTTATGGATATGGATCACCGGAAGATAAATCGCGTCCAGTTGAAATAAAATTACGAGAACACATACGTTACCTATTATCATACAACGACCGACGCTTTGAAACAAATCATAGTTTTATATTTGTAGTTTTTAATCTTTTGCAACGACGTGATGCTTGTTTTCATGCTCAACTGATAGCCACGAAACCTTACTTTCAAGCATCTGCTCAGGAAATTCAGTCATTAAACAGTAACGATATTGAAATGGCTCTCAACAAAAGTGCAAAAAATACGTTTAGCTCGACAACCAATGCATCATTACATAAACTACTCAATCATATTAAAAACCATCGGTGGTCGATTTATGGGTTTAACATATTCAAGAACAGCTTTGCGCACTCGTATTCATGCACTAATCTATAATCAAGGTCTACCAAGCATTTTTCTAACTTTGAATCCAGCTGATATTCACAGTCCTGTAGCACTCTATTTTGCCGGTGCCAAGCTTGATTTAGACAACATTCAAATCGAGCAACTAATGACGACTTATAAAAGAGCTGAAATTATTGCTTCATATCCTGTGGCTACTGCCAAGTTTTTCCATTTATTGATCACTAACATATTAGATACTATGATAGTTGGTGGTGTTCTTGGACCTGTAAAAACTTACTTTGGTACTGTTGAAAATCAAGGACGTGGCTCTCTTCATTTACACCTTCTTATTTGGCTGGATCATGATTTTAAGCCATCTGATTTGAAAGAAAAAATTCAAAATGCTGATTTTCGCGAAAAATTAAAAGCATATTTAGAAGATATTATCAAAGAAGACTTAGATGAATTCAAAGGCAAACGTACCTTTGAAAATCCAGATAGTATAACAAGTTTTAATCCTTTTCCCACATAATCTATTCTTTTTTATTTTAGTATTAGGAGTGTGCGTTACTCCCTCAAGATTATCACGCGATGACATATATTCAGCTTTAAAAACCATCGATCTCTCAGGATTGGAGCAAGACACAAGTAATTTCGGCAATATTCGATCAACACCGACGAAGGAGCAATCTTCTTCGTCGATTAGTTTTGCTACACCATCGCCGAAAAGGTATTCAGAAACAACGTTGCATGGTCAACCGAATTATGGTATGTGTATAGTGATTATAAAAACAAGTACAGTATAGACTTATTTTTTTAGCAACGAATACTTTACGTAATGAATCAAAAATAATTCCTGCTTGCTTACCTACCACAAATCCATCATCACCTAATTTTGCANACAGTGAGATGCTTTTTTGATTTCCCTATTTTTGGTCAGTCGATCTTATACTGATTGCATGCAGATGACCATTATGACAAACTTGAGAAACAAATAAAACGGAGTTCATAAATAAACACAATAAGTAAAGAAAAACAAGAATTTTCAATTGAGATTCAACAAAATTTTTCAGACAACGTTTTAATCTTGCAGGTTGTACTGCAGTTCCAAAACAAGCTCTGCTTTTCTTGATAAAAATCAAAGCTTCCTATTAAACTTTGAAAATTCTTGCAGATATAAATATATTCAATAAAACTTGTAACTTAAAATCATTATTTTAGATCGATTGAAAAGATTTCTCGATCATAAGTTATATTCTCGACATCAGCATATATGAATAGAAAATGATACATGCTGTCGCTCTTTTTTTCTCTTCGATTTTCTGTGAAGTATCATCAAAAATACTTCGAAAAGATGAAATATATTAAGTGAATTATTTCAACATATCGAAAAGATTAATATTAAATTTTTTTTTAAAGTCATATATAAAAAGCGATGGTGCTTGTAATATGTAAACAAAAGATTCAAGAAAAATAGAAATGGTTTTTATTTATCAAATCAACTTTTTTCAGCGTATGCTCATCGTAAATCAATATCTTTCGGTAGTTCTTGAACAATTACACTTTTTCTGATGTTTCTAGTAACATTCTAATTGATTTAATTAAATTCTTTTTTGTTTTATTTGTGAACATCATATATAAATTAATCTAATCCATTCGTATGGTTGTGAATCAAAAGCAAGACGAAAGAAAGAAAAAAGAATTGACTCTTCTTTCTGAAATTGATAGAAAAAGCAAAAGATTCTAACTTCTTGTATTTGAGACTTTTTTTCGAAATTTCTTTGATGATCTTATTGATGACTCTACGAGAGAATCAGTACATCCAGTAGTGCTTTTTATGCTCTTTCTAGCAGCATACTTTTTATTGTGTCTAAATGTTATAAAAATTTTTGAAGCTGATTCATACACTGCAACATAAATGCATAACTTATTGACTAAGAAAAGTATATATGGTAAAAGAAAAATATCTTAAGACAAAACATTAGGTGAAGACTAAATCAATTTCACTGAAATAAACAAAAAACAACATAAATAATCACCCGAGTTTTTCAATCATTTATTTCGATGTGCAATATTGATCCGTTTTCTCTTTCTTTTTAATACCGCCTACAACTTTTCTCAACGCTTGTACACGACGAGTAGGCTTGTTATCTGCATGTGCAGAATTTAGATACACCCAGCAGAATAAAAGATCTATTATAAAATGTCAAAGAACTATTATGGTAGTTGTTGAGAAGCAATTGAATAATCAAATAAAATTATTTATTTTTCATTTAAAGAAAACAAAGCTGAACTTGATTTAACAGCACTAATTACTTTTATAATAAGTGCTTTGATTGACTTTTCCGATTGAAAACAATTTTGAAATTTTCGAAAATTTTCATGCGATATTGTTGAAAATTCAACATTCAATTATCAACTTATTTTTCGAAAATTTTGGTAGTTATGAGAGCTTGTTGTTATTTTTTATCTTTGTTTGGTCGAATGATGAAAAGCAAACATTTTTTTCTAGTTGTTATTGTTAAATAATGGTAGAATTGTGTAGACAAAATGATGAGCATAATTAAATAAGAATTCAAAATAAATTCTTGAATTATAGATTTTTTCAGCAGTTGATGAATTCAATATACTTGAGAAGAGTTGGAGACGACTTACAAGCACGAAAGAAAAGAATGATTCTCGTGTAGTTGAGTGGATAAGAGCGTGCTTAACGTGATCCTATTTGAAATTCAATGTGAAGCATTTATTTTGTTTCTGTTGTTTTCGCTTTTTTCCATTTATTTTTGTCCCAAAAATGTTTGCTTATAGTCAGGGATATCATCTGCAAATCTGAACGAGGACAGTGGTAATTGACCAGGCTGATTACGAATATGATATTTTTATCTACTGAATACTCACTCTTAACAACCATTCCGGGGTGATATGTTGATATATCTCGACAACATTCAGGCTATAGACATTGTATCTGAAAATAAATGCATTAACAAATTTTATACCAATCGAAGATATGGATTTTATAGCAATACGGCGAGCCATTTTGAATCAATCAAATCCAACATTAGCGATAAAATTTTCATAAGTCATTTCGTTTTTAATACTAACTATTTAACTTGATTTTTTATTTAAAGAAAAAGGCCAGTGTGCGTGGTGCAGTACGTCTTTTAACGGTCTAATAGAATGAGTTTTATCACTATGAAATATATGACGTTAAGAATTTTCGTAATGGATGAACCAGAAAAGATCTATTCACTCAGATAGTACCTTATGCTACTCTGATCTAAACAATCACATGGTGACTCTATGCATGCTTTTGCTAAATGCAATGATCTATGTATTTTCCATGGACATTTGCATAAAAAAGCCTACTTTTTATTTTTCATTTTATTCATTTTTCTTTTTTAGTCCGATGTTCAAAGTATAAATGCCAGTGTTTGCAAAGAAGAGTCTACTAAGAGTATTCATGCACGGAAACTTGATGGGCACAGCTTAGATGTAACATTTGATGATTTTAAAAAGAAAGTGCACTTTATTCAATAGTTTCATCAATCTTGAGTCATTGTGAAATAAATGTGTTAAATCCGTGGATTAGAACGTAAGTTAATGATAAATTTAATTTGAAATATAAAATCGTTTCTTTTTACCGTTCAATAACCACTTCAATCAATTGATTCCGGCTGTATGCGTCGATGAATAGTGCGTAGCCGATTAAGTCAATGGGATATACGTTAAATTACGTAATCAATTAACATTATTTACTTTTTTTCGTAATTATCTGGTCTATCATAGTATAAAAAAAAATTTCTGTTCGTTCATTCAACTGTGCAAAAGAAAACAATGATCTAGCAAAAAGTCAATAATTTGTTTTTGATATTATTTTTATGCACGTTTTATTGTGTTGTTTTCTTTTTAAAGACCCAAAAAGTCATACAAATGTTAGGATCTTATTTGTTGACTTGAAGTTAGTTTTGATATTTTTTGTCTTTTATTATTTATACAGATTCGATTTGCACAGTATTGTGCGTTATATGGATAGGCTTTCTTCTTTGTTATCTTTTATTCGATTTTAGGCGTTTCTACTCTCTCAATTCAACCTTACACATAAATCGTAAAAACTCAAAAAGTATTGTCGCATACAATCATATTAAAATATCTTTTTTTTGAATGATATGCATTCGATGTCTCATTGAGCGTATTATTCGGGCAATACATATACTTAAAATATTATAGACGTGGTGCTACACTACTTATTTTTGTTTAGATTATCAATAGAAGCAATAGAAATGAGCTTATTTTATTTTTTTTTCAGCGCGGATCGTACTAGAAAAAATTATTCTGGTATGGGTAGTCGTTTACAAGCCTATTATAATGCGTTTCGAGAAAGTATTATTAAAATTGATCAAAAGAACAAGCACTTTTTAATACTAATAACAAAAAATGAATGATGATTTCACAACAAAACACAAACTTTTCCAACAATAATACCATTTTAATCAAATCAAAGTGTTTCCTGTTTCAATTATTTGTGCTTTGCTCATTATTGATTAATTTACTTGAAATCAGTCTTTTTTTTAAATATATTTTATCGAAACGAATTATTTTATTACAGAATAAAAGAGGAAAGATAACCACAGAGCGGTTAAAAATATTTTTTAAGGAGAGTAACATTATGATTTAAAATATCATCTCTAACTAATTTTATACTAAACTAAAGAGCGTCGAAGACGGAATTTATTAGTGGTAAATAGTAAAGTTTATGGAAAATTGGCAGTGTGGAATTCTAAAAAAATGTCTAGAGTTTTACACAATATTGACATAGAAAAATTACTTTCACGACGCAGCTCAAAATTGATCTCATTCAAAATGTTCAATAACATAAAGTAGTATTTATCTCTTAAGGCTTGAGCGTATGGCCATTAGTTAGTATGACATTCATTAGCTTTCTTTCTAGCAAGATGAGGCGAATACGAACGTAACATAGTTTCAAATAGCTCAATTTTTGTTTTCATGTTTGTCCAAACATCTGAAATACGTTTTTCAGAGATTTTTCATCGTAAAGGTTGCGTTTCGTCGCCGATAGCATATGTTTTCAGTTTCATTGGTGGTTATTACTCCAATATTTTTGGGTCACGTGTTCATTACGAGGTGTTATTCATGCCGTTAAATGAGATCTAATTTGAACTACCTCGTGAAAGTAATTTTTCTATGTCAATATCGTGTAAAACTCCAGAAATTTTCAGAATTTGACACTGTAAATTTACCATAATCTTTACTATTTACCATCGATAAATCCCTTTTTCGACGCTCTTTAATTTAGTATAACATTAGCTACAGATGTTACTTTAAGTCAAACCGTTACTCCCTGAAAAAATACTTTTTCCTGTCTTGTGGATAACATCTTTTACAAAAATTTCTGTCAATCATTACTGTTAGAAAAATATGTCATGCTAAATGTTTCTTCTTTCATGTGTCTTCGTAATTTTCATTGAAATGTTTTACATGACCTTTATAAAATAAGTTGCTTCTTGGATACAGATAATGATTACATCATACAATAGTCTATGAAACATATCTTTCACCACTAGATTTAATTTAGAGTAAACTAGAATAACATTGGTTTTTATTGTTCATGAATAAATGACCGACTTTTATGTGCATCAATGCCTCATAATACGATATTTGAAACATATATTAATTTGTTCTTCTGAAATTATGTAAAAAGGCATGAATTTTCAGCAAAGAAGTCAACTGTTTACGTTGAATGTATCCAAACCAAGTAATGTAATTAGTCATTTGAGTGTAATTTCCGTACCAGTTCCTTTTGTAACTGGTAGATACAAAGAAAAATACAATCTATACAACATATCTGACATTTACTTTTATAATTTCTATATCGATATCTAATGATAAAAATATGAGATAATTGAATAGATTCGTATGTGTACGAAAATCTAGCTCAAAGGAAGAAACTACGCTGCACTAGAGCCGATAAGCAAGTTTTTTCGTTCAACCGAACCAACTACAACTGATGCATTACAGAATACTTCAAAGGATTATACTTAAAACGTCATTTAATGCATAATTTCGTTTTCTAGGAAGAAAAGAAGAATAGTAACTTTTTATCATTTAATAAATATTTTCTCTCTAGAATATAATCGAGATCTAGGATTTCGACCATATTCTATTTTCTCCAATTTTCATAAAAGATGTTGTCATATTTTTAACGACGATATACAGTAGTACTCTGATTTTGCTGTAGAACGGATACAGAAACTTTACCGTAATATTACTAATCATTCGTGGATATTTCTATCAACATAGCATGTAGTTTCGTTATAAGTATTCTTTTGATATAATAAAGTGTTGTGTTTTGAACTCGTTTTTATCACTATATTCAGAGATTTATCACTTGATGAATGAAAACACAGCTCAATATTGTTGAGATATTCTTATTAATGAAAGTTCAGTATTTATAAATAGTTGCTGTTCGTTGTTTCCTATCATTGGCTTAAGTATTTTATAAAATTGCTGTGAAAACAGAAATCGAAATCGAATTTTCTATCGAACTTGTTCAGCTATTATGAATTCATGGTCCTTCGATAATCAAATGAAGGAAACTATTGAGTTGATGAAAGAAAATAATATCCGATAGAAGAATAATATATACAGCCTATGTTCTTAATAATACCAGCTTTTTAGTGCTCAAAAAAATTATTTTTTTCTCAGCTGTTCTGCATGAAAAACTAAATATTTTTATATATTTAAATAGAGAAATGTCTGCTGAATCGAATGATGTAGAAATCATTTGAATATCTTGACAATTCATTAAATAATTAGTCGCAGTTTGACAGTGATTGGATTTATTCGAATAAGAAGTGCTGTTCCTAATAAGAATAGCAAGTGAAAGAATGTTCTTAATAAAAAAATACAGCGCGGAACAAGATAAATTTTAAAAAAATCACTAAATGAAATTTTTTGCTATAAACAATTCAAAATTTTTCAATATTTCTATGACAAAAAATGTTCCTTATAAATCAATGAGTTTTAATTCATAGATTTAGATTTTTTTCAAATTATGTTGAGTGAGATATTAAATTACAAAAATTCACTTGCATGCTCGAAATAGGAACATTTTCTCGTTGGTTGTTCTTATTAGGAACAGCATTCCTTATTCGAATAAATCCAATCATTGTCAAACTACCGCCAATTATTCAATGAATTTCCAAGATATTGAAATGATTTCTACATCATTCGATTCAGCAGACATTTCTCTACGCAAATATATAAAATGTTTATAGTTTCATGCAGGGCCGTTAAGAAAAAAAAGATTTTTTAAGCATTGAAAGAGCTATTCTTATCAGGAATATAGGCTTACTACGAAAATGGAGTCTCACAGTTATTTTTCATCAGCATAGTTGTAGTTTTTTTAATTATATAACTGTTTTCCTAAAGTATCCATGTTTACTAAAAATTGATCTCAAATATTGATTTCATTTACTTGAATGTTAAAATTTTGTAGATAATAATATACCTATATCGGTTCTAGTAACAAATGAACACAGAGTGTATATTTTGCTTCGTACAGTGCATAAGTAGCTGTTGTGGAAGATGCGATCGAATGAGTCGTGGTGAAAAATTTGCACGATTGCTTCAACATCTTGAAGCATGTTCAAAAAGTATAATGTATCATGACGCGGTCGCTTCTGCTGTACAATGGATTCGTCAAGTAAGTTTGTTAGATTAATAGTTATATTATAAGCAAAGCATTGCAGATTGAACTAGTTATGGCACCAATGCAGTTTCATCCAAACAGAACTTTCGATGAAAATAAACATGCTGTAGATGTCATCGCTAGAAACTATCTTGAAAAGGCAACCGATGATGTACATCATCTTGTTCCAGTCGAAGTCGCTAGTGATGGAAATTGTTTGTACAATTCTATTCTTGTTCTCATGGATAACCCGGCGGTGACGGCAAGTGAATTGCGAGGTACATAGATTTATTTTTCATGTGTGCCATTATTCAATCTAATTTGAAATAATTTTTAGTTCGCACAATTATTGAGCTGGTAATGAATGAAACACACTATGCAAAAATGTTTTCACAATTCATCGGACCTATCGACATGGCTATCCAAGCTATATGTAAAAATTATGCATTTTCAGAATTCTACGAAATTGGTGCTCTATGCAGTGTATTTGGATGTAATATAAGAAGTATTTATCCAAATATTGATTTTCGAGATGATATGGTAGTTTTGAATAACATCTTTACACCTCTTCCACCTATTATTACTAACTGTGAGATCACAATTTTGTGGTGCCACGCCAAGAATGAAAAAGATGCTCGGGAAGCAAATCATGGTGCTTGGAGTCCAAACCATTTTGTTCCTCTTATGTCACCACCTATGCATTATGCATTTGACGGTAATAATCAGTCAATGTCAACTGCTGTGGTAGGTTATTACTCTATGAATGAGAGCTCCACAAATTTTAAATTTTCTTTAGACTCCTGAAAAGAAAACATTTAAGAACAACGCTTCTACCCAAGTACGAATTCCTGAATTTCAGTCTTCTTCCAATAGACGTTTGCGAAGCGAAATCAACACGGAAAATCACTTCGCTCAATCGATTATTTCAGATACGATGCAAAAAGAACAGAATGACATAGAGAAGCAGCATCAGAGCCGACTTGAAAAGAAAAGAGAATGGGCTCGTTGCAGTCGAATGAACGAGACAGATGACCACCGCCAAATACGACTCGAAAAGCAAAAAATGCGCAGCCAGTCGCGACGGGCGACTGAAGCAGAAGAAAAGCGTGAAAGTCGACTTAAGGACGACAGAGAAAGAATCAAATCCAGTCGAACGAATGAAACAGAAGAAAAGCGTGAAAGTCGACTTAAGGACGGCAGAGAAAGAATCAAATCCAGTCGAGCGAATGAAACAGAAAAACAACGTCAAAGTCGACTCGAGCAGCAAAGGAAACGAAGCCAAGCCAACAGAACCAAAAAGAAACTTGAAAAGAGCGCTTCTGACAACATCGCTGTTCAACAAGCAAACATTGATATGCAGTTAAATGAAACGGAAGATCATGCGTCTCGTGATGTTGCCAACATGAATGATCTTATACAAAAGGAAAATGTCACAAAGAAAAAGAAAAGCTCCATTTATTCGTCTTGGCCTGAAGTTATTTCTCGTGATTTGAAGGAGGCTTGCTTGAAACAATTTCTTCAACAGATGTCCATGTCAGAGCTGGCTGAAGCTGTTTGTGCTATTTGCAACGTTCGTAGTCTAGTACAAAACTCGAAGAAAATACCGGTCTCAAAAATTCCCAACATTCATGTACTCAAAGTTTTGGACGAGCTCAATGATTTAATTAAAGGCAGTCAAACATTAGCTCCACAACATTCAAACAGAAACATTGGAACCTCTATGAACAGTGATAACATACAGATGACAGGACATATGCAAGGTGATTCATAACTTCCACGATTTAAGACTTATATACAGGTTTTAACTATTTTAGGTTCTTCAAATTTCAATTCACCATCTTTTTATTGTGAGAATGGAATCATTTTATATGCTAATGGCTTGTATCAACAAAATAAGACGGATATGTGTACGATTTGCCAAAAATGTTACGACTCTCTGTCAAAGGGAAAGATTCCTAAGTTTTCACCTGCTAATAATATGTGGCTAGGTGACATACCTGCTGAATTGAAAGGCTTAACGATCCCAGAAGAAAAGTTAATTTCACTTTATCGTCACAATAGTTGTATCATAAAACTTCATTCACCTTTTCATTCAACTACAACTGCTCAGACAGCATTAAAAGGCAACTGTATTACGTTCCTTCAAAATGTACCGAACATCGTTAATAGTTTACCACTTACACTTGACGACCTATGCGACACACTTAAAGTTATTTTTGTTGGCGCTCAGCGTCCTGAGCGTATTCATCTCAGAAAAATCCTAACAGTACGCAAGAAAAAAATTATTCAAGCATTGCATTGGCTGAAGAAACATAATGTGCTCTATCAAAATGTCGAGATAAATCTGGAGAATATCGCTCAACTGCCTGAAGACGACGTACCAGAATCTATCATGTCAGCAATGGAACAGAAGATAGGCGATGAAGAAACTCAATCTGAGAGGGTTGGATATGTTCCCGATCCATTAACTAATCCGGCAGAATCAACTACTTCAGACGCAATTCCTATTAACAGCAGGTAAGATCTATACCATCAAACGAGTTATTTCATAAATATTTTCTCTCTAGTGGTGTTCTTGATGTGAATGGATCCATGGTATCTTCAGATGAAATTGTTAATTATATTTTACGAAAAATTAGAAATGATGGAACAAAGGACCAGGTGGAAAACGAAAGTGTTTACTTGATTCCTCATTCTTCAAAGCCTGCTAATGAGTACTTTAATCCAAAACTACTACTAGGTCTGTATCCAACTCTATTCTGTTATGGACGTGGATCACCTGAGGATCAATCACGTCCAGTTGAAATAAAATTTCGAGAACACATACGTTACTTGTTATCCTATAATGATCGACGTTTTGAAACAAATCATAGTTTTATATTTGTGGTTTTTAATCTTTTGCAACGACGTGATGCTTGTTTTCATGCTCAACTGATAGCCACGAAACCTTACTTTCAAGCATCTGCTGAGGAAATTCAGTCCTTAAACAGTAACGATATTGAAATGGCTCTCAACAACCGTTCAAAAAATACGTTTATCTCGACATCCAATGGAGCATTACATAAACTACTCAATCACATTAAAACCATCGGTGGTCGAGGTATGGGGTCAGCATATTCCCGAACAGCTTTGCGCACTCGTATTCATGCACTAATCTTTAATCAAGGTCTGCCAAGCATTTTTCTAACTCTGAATCCAGCTGATATTCACAGTCCTGTGGCACNCGAATATCGTTAACAGTTTACCACTGAAACTTGATGATTTGTGTGATACATTAAAAGTGATTTTTGTTGGTGCACATCCTCCTGAACGTGTCCATCTTAAGAAGATCTTGACCGTCCGCAAGAAAAAAGTCACTGAAGCATTGCATTGGCTGAAGAAAAATAACATACTTTATCAAAACGTCGAGATAAACCTTCATAATATTAATCAATTACCTGAAGATGACGTACCGGAAGCCATCATGTTAACGATGGAACAGAAGATCGGTGATGAAGAAACTTCATCTGAAAGAGTCGGATATGTTCCTGATCCATTAGCTGATCCGACTGAATCCACAAATTCTGACACCATTCCTATTAGTAACAGGTAAGATCTATCAGCAACTAAGTCATTTTTAGAGTATTTTTCCTTTGTAGTGGTGTTCTCGACGTGAATGGATCCACCGTAACTTCAGAGGAAATTAAAAATTATGTTTTACGCAAAATTAAAAATGACAAAGCAACTGAACAGATGGATATCGAAAGTATTTACGTAATTCCTCATTCATCGGAACCTGTTAATGAATATTTTAATCCAAAACTACTACTAGGGCTGTATCCAACGCTATTCTGTTATGGATATGGATCGCCCGAAGATAAATCGCGTCCAGTTGAAATAAAATTACGAGAACACATACGTTACCTATTATCATACAACGATCGACGCTTTGAAACAAATCATAGTTTTATATTTGTAGTTTTTAATCTTTTGCAACGGCGTGATGCTTGTTTTCATGCTCAACTGATAGCCACAAAACCTTACTTTCAAGGATCTGCTCAGGAAATTCAGTCATTAAACCGTAACGATATTGAAATGGCTCTCAACAAAAGTGCAAAAAATACGTTTAGCTCGACAGCCAATGCATCATTACATAAATTACTCAATCATATTAAAACCATCGGTGGTCGAGTTATGGGTTCAACGTATTCAAGAACAGCTTTGCGCACTCGTATTCATGCACTAATCTATAATCAAGGTCTACCAAGCATTTTTCTAACTTTGAATCCAGCTGATATTCACAGTCCTGTGGCACTCTATTTTGCCGGTGTCAAGCTTGATTTAGACAACATTCAAATCGAGCAACTAATGACGACTTATAAAAGAGCCGAAATTATTGCTTCACATCCCGTGGCTACTGCCAAGTTTTTCCATTTATTAATCACTAACATATTAGATACTATGATAGTTGGTGGTGTTCTTGGACCTATAAAAGCTTATTTTGGTACTGTTGAGAATCAAGGACGTGGTTCTCTTCATTTACACCTTCTTATTTGGCTTGATCATGAATTTAAGCCATCTGATTTGAAAGAAAAAATTCAAAATGCTGATTTTCGCGAAAAATTAAAAGCATATTTAGAAGATATTATCAAAGAAGACTTAGATGAATTCAAAGGCAAACGTACCGTTGAAAATCCAGATAGTACAAAAATTTTTAATCTTTTTCCCATGTAATCTAGTCTTTTTTATTTTAGTATTAGGAGTATGCGTTACTCCCTCAAGATTATCACGCGATAATATATATGCAGCTTTAAAAACCATCGATCTCTCAGGATTGGAGCAAGACACAAGTAATTTCGGCAATATTCGATCAACACCGATGAAGGAGCAATCTTCTTCGTCGATTAGTTTTGCTACACCATCGCCGAAAAGGTATTCAGAAACAACGTTGCATAGTCAACCGAATTATGGTATGTGTATAGTGATTATAAAAACAAGTACAGTATAGACTTATTTTTTTAGCAACGAATACTTTACGTAATGAATCAAAAATAATTCCTGCTTGCTTACCCACCCCAAATCCATCATCACCTAATTTTGCATCAAGATTTTGTGCATATATAGTAAAGCTTGTCGAAACAGGTAATTTTCACAAACACAGTGATACGTGCTACAAATACTGGAATGCTAATCGAGGTGATAAAAAAACGTGCCGAATGCGTATGCCGCGTAAATTAGTATCCAATTCAACAATTGATCCTGCTACTGGGAATATTTGTATGCGACGATCCGATCCTTGGATCAATAATTTTAATGAATATCTCATCGCAGCTTGCCGCTCAAATATGGACATTAAATTTATTTGGAGTGGT